GCCCAGGCTATAGTGAGTGCCGTGGCGTCAGCCTAGCTCACAGCAACCTCAAACTCCTGGGCTCAAGCGAATCCTGCTGCCTCAGCCTCCCGAGTAGCTGGGACTACAGGCATGGCCACCATGCCGGCTAATTTTTAGATATATATATATTCAGTTGGCCAATTAATTTCTTTCTATTTATAGTAGAGACGGGGTCTCGCTCTTGCTCAGGCTGGTATTCGAACTCCTGACCTCGTAGCAATCCGCCCGCCTCGGCCTCCCAGAAGTGCTAGGATTACAGGCGTGAGCCACTGCGCCCGGCCTCAGTTTCTTAATGTGTCTATTGGTGCCTTAAGTGTGCTGGCCCTGGCACTGAGGTTGGAGGATACGTGTCCCTGTCATTATGAAGGTCTTTTCTGTTCAGCATTGACTTCACTGTTCACCCCCCTCGCTCTCTCTTTTCTTTTAGTTATTCTTGGAAGACTTGAGTCCTCTTGTTTGCCTGAAGAATGGTTAGGGTGTCTGTTCTGAAGAGGGATTGGAGACCTGCATGAAACTTGTGCCCAGAGGGAGAGTGTCCCTATGGAATTAAGTTTGTAGGAAAGGAGTTCTCAGACCCCAGAAGAATTGGAACAATAGAGTTCTCACAGAAGATTGCCCAGGAAATATTAATAGTCACTGGGGCAATGTGGTGCCAACAGCCACAAGTGTTCAGGCTCTTTAGGCCCTGGCCCAGTTTGGACACTCGTCTTGGTCAGGAGTTGTTCCCCAACAGCCTGTGGGGCTCGCAGGGACGCTGTAAGTGACCTCCAGCGCACCTGGACAATGCCTACAAGAGGGGCGATTGGGTCGTGGATAGAGGGGTTTCCGCAAGCCTTCCAAGGTGACAAGGTGAGAGACTGGCCCAGAAAATAAAGGCGTGGAAGAAAGCGAAGATTCCTACAACACATGGCTTTGATACTTGAGTTGTTGGGGGCGGTGGAAATGGGTGTGTTCCGGGAGAAATACTGGGGAAAGGAAACATGCGCGAGCATTCAACCCGTAGAAAGGATATTGATGACATGTCTGCCTGCAGGAAGTGACAGAAGTCGCAGAGTGTCCTGGGTGCGTGTACAGGGGCTCTCCTTATGTGCTCTTGGTAGCGCCCGCGACATGGGAGTTGTCTGCTTCATCCAAACGAGCCTCAGAGGTTCAAATTTCCTTTGCTTGAAACCGGAAGTTGCTGGCGCCTGATAAAAGCCGCACCCTCCGGCTGGGACGGTCTTAGGGCCTGACGTCGTCGGCCTGGTGCGAGCGCAGAGGGTGCTGGCCACTGGAGCGGGCACCTCTGGGACAATCCCGTCCTCCGCTCGGGGGTTGACTCATGTGACTTGCAGTAGAGGATGTGCTACTCTCAAGGCAAGGGGTGGGGTTCAGATGGTGGGGGAATGGGTTTTTGTTTTGTTGGGTGCAGGAATCGAGGGGGTTCCTATCTACGACTCGCGCAGTGGGGCAGGTGTAGCTGGTGACTCCAGCCCAGTACTGTTAGGTGGCAGGGCAGGAGTGTGGGCGACAGTCTTTGGTTTTAAGAAATTTAAAATTAAAAACTTGTTAACATTTCTCATGAATATTATTTGTTGAAAAACTTACTTTAAAGGCTTTGGCTGGGTGCAGTGGCTTCCACCTGTAATCCACAGATTGGTTGACACTTGCCATTGAGTGTTTAGGCTGCATCCATATATTTTTTTCCACTACCATGTGATTAACATCTTTATTCTTATATTCTATCTTTTTGGTGATGGGATTTCTAGACTTGAGGTCTTGATTCAGGTGGTTTTATGTGTTGCCAAGCTATTTTTCATTTGTACCAGCTTCCCTTCCCAGCAGCTCTCATCACCCCATTCAGCCTGCATTTGGGGTTCTTGTTTCTTTTTGGTAAGGTGAGGCAGCTTCTCAGGTGTTTGTTTACTCAGTTGTGACTTGGGCTTTTGGACTCCTTCATTTTTTTTTTTTCTTTTCTTTTTTTTTTTTTTGAGACAGAGTCTTGCTTTGTTGCCCAGGCTAGAGTGAGTGCCGTGGCATCAGCCTAGCTCACGGCAACCTCAATCTCCTGGGCTCAAGCGATCCTCCTGCCTCAGCCTCCCGAGTAGCTGGGACTACAGGCATGCGCCACCATGCCTGGCTAATTTTTTATATATATATCAGTTGGCCAATTCATTTCTTTCTATTTATAGTAGAGACGGGGTCTCGCTCTTGCTCAGGCTGGTTTCGAACTCCTGACCTCGAGCAATCCGCCCGCCTCGGCCTCCCAGAGTGCTAGGATTACAGGCGTGAGCCACTGCGCCCGGCCTCAGTTTCTTAATGTGTCTATTGGTGCCTTAAGTGTGCTGGCCCTGGCACTGAGGTTGGAGGATACTGTCCCTGTATTATGAAGTCTTTTCTGTTTCAGCATTGACTTCACTGTTCAGCCCCCTCTCTCTTTTTCTTTTAGTTATTCTTGGAAGACTTGAGTCCTCTGTTTGCCTGAAGAATGTTAGGTGTCTGTTCTGAAGAGGGATTGAGACCTGCCATGAAACTTGTGCCCAGAGGGGAGAGTGTCCCTATGGAATTAAGTTTAGGAAAGGAGTTCTCAGACCCCAGAAGAATTTGAGAACAATAGAGTTCTCACAGAAGATTGCCCAGGAAATGAATAGTCACTGGGGCAATGTGGTGCCAACAGCCACAAGTGTTCAGGCTGCTTTAGGCCCTGGCCCAGTTTGGACACTCGTCTTGGTCAGAAGTTGTTCCCCAACAGCCTGTGGGAGCTCAGGACCTGAATGACCTCAGCACCTGGACAGCTACCAAGAGGGGCGATTGGTGGAAGAGGTTTCCCAAGCCTTCCAAGTGAAAGGTGAGAACTGCCCAGAAAATAAGGCGTGGAAAAAGCAAGATTCCTACAACACATGGCTTGATACTTGATTTTGGGGGGGGAAATGGGTTTTTTCGAGAATATGGGGCAAGAAAAATGCCAGCATTCAGACCTAGAAGGATAATGAATGTCTGCCTGCAGGAAGTGACAAGTCAGAGTGTCTGGTGTCTACAGGGGCTCTCCTTATGTGCTCTTGTAGCCCACATGGGAGTTGTCTGCTTATCAAGAGGCTCAGAGTTCAAATTTCTTTCTGAACCGGGAAGTGCTGGGCTGATAAAAGGCACCCTCGGGTGGAGGTAGGGCGAGTGTGGCTGGTACGAGCAGAGGTGCTGGCATGAGGGGCACCTCTGGGACATCCGGTCCTCTCGGGTGACCAGTGACTGCAGAGAGGCATGTACACCAGGCAAGGGTGGGGGTTAGAGGTGGGGAAGGGTTTGGTGCAGGAATCGAGGGGTTTCACCAGACTCGCAGTGGGACAGTGATGTGACTCCAGCCAGGATGTTAGGTGAGCAGGAGTGGGCACATCTGGTGATAGGCTGCCCTGGCAGTGGGGCAGCGATGTAACTGCAGCCAGGATGTCAGGTGAGCAGGAGTGGGCACATCTGGTGATAGGCTGCCCTGGCAGTGGGGCAGCATACCAGAACCACCAACTTGGACCAGGGCAGGACCTGCCTGGACAATACCCCCAAGCCAAGGAGAGGTACTCACGCTGTGCTCCTGGGCACATCATCCCCTCCTTGTCCCTACTCCCCCATTGTTGTTTTTTTCCTGAAACCACCTCTGGGTTCATTGTGGTCTTTTAAATTGTACAGTTGTTAGGCCGGGCGAGGTGGCTCACACCTGTAATCCTAGCACTCTGGGAGGCCAAAGCGGGAGGATCGCTCAAGGTCAGGACTTCAAAACCAGCCTGAGCAACAGCAAGACCCCATCTCTACTAAAAATAGAAAGAAATTAATTCGCCAACTAAAAATATATAGAAAAAATGAGCCGGGCATGGTGGCGCATGCCTATAGTCCCAGCTACTCGGGAGGCTGAGGCAGGAGGATCGCTTGAGCCCAGGAGATTGAGGTTGCTGTGAGCTAGGCTGACGCTACGGCACTCACTCTAGCCTGGGCAACAAAGTGAGACTCTGTCTCAAAAAATAAATAAATAAATTTTAAAAATAAATTGTACAGTGGTTTACACAACCAGCCTCCACCTTGCCTTACTAAGTCTCTTGAAATGGTGAGCCACTCCTTTGCCTGGCTGTGCAGTGGCCGTGTCTGTGGGCTTGCGGCTATGGTGGCAGCACATCCTGGGTGCTCAGCCTGCACCCAGAGCAACTCAGGTGCACACCCAAGCGTGAGGCCTGTTCTTGCACCCGGGGCCCCTTCAGAGCACCTCAGGGCCTCAGCGAAGAAGCAGAGATGGTACCTCTCCTTGACCCAGGTGGGGGTGGTCCCAGGGCATGGGTGCTGAGGGGCTGAATCCCCCTGCTTGTTCCTCCACCCAGCCCAGCCTGCTGAGGACCTCTGCCCTCGTCACAGCAGCCTCTCCAGGTCTCCAGAGGAAATGGAAGCACATTCCTGGCCAGGCCCACCCCAGGTGAGTGGGGGGCCTTCGCTCTCCATGCACGAGTGTCCTCAGACATAAAATGGGTCCAGGAATAGCCCCGTCACCCCCACAGATGAAAACCTCAAGATGCTGGCTGGTGCTTCCTGGTGACACCGCCGGCCTCCCTGCAGGGAAGCACCTTCCTTGTCTCCTGCATGGACAAGCCAGGAGCTCCTTGTACCAGACCCTGCCTTAGTCTTCTGCACCTGGTTGGCTGGCCCAGGTCTCTGCTTACATATTTTGCTTGTGGTAGTTGCTCACCAGGCCCCTGAAGGCAGGTGGAGCTGACCTCCGTACCCAAGCAGCCACACCGGGCCCTCAGCCCTCACTGAGACCACTGGTGGTGTCCCCTTGAAGCACCGTAGTCACCTGAAGGGTCACCTGTAGTTGGTTCACGGTGCAGCACTTGGGGCGAAATGCAGGGCCCTGACCTCACGAGGATCACAACAGCGGCATCGCCTGGGTGCCAGGGGGCGGGTGCTCCTCGTGTCCCTTGAGACCGTCCCATGCTGGGGTCTCTTCATAGCCATGTCGTGGCAGCACGTGCCGGAGAAGCTCAAGCATGCATCCAGGTGTCTAGCCAGTAAGCTGTGAAGCTGAGACACCAACTCAGGCCCGTCCCCCAAGGTCAGGGCCGATAATCCCTTGCCTGCACGTCTTACAAGTAGGGTCAGCAAGTGTATGTTCTATTCTGTGAAGGGCCAGATGGTGACTACAGTCATTGATCACTTAATGATGGGGATGTGTTCTGAGAAATGCATCATTAGGCAATTTTATTGTTGTGTGACCATCACAGCATGTACTTAAACCTAGGTGGTACTGCCCTCACCTGTACCTCCTAGGCTGCAAGCCTGTACAGCGTGTTACTACAGTAGGTACTGTGGGCAATTGTAACACAGTGGTAAAGTATTTGTGTGTCCAAACATAGAAAAGATATGGTAAAAATACAGTATAAAAGATGATTCTGAATAGGACCCTTATCATGAATGGAGCTTGAGGAGGGATAGAATTAATCTCTGAGTGAGTGGTGAGTGAATATAAAGGCCTAGGATGTTACTGCACATTCCTGTAGACCTTATAAACACACCTTGTAAAATATATATAAAACATGTTTAATAATATTCAATGGCAGCTTCTACTAAAAAAAAAAACAAGATAAAAAATAAAAAAATTTAAAACAACAAAACATTTTTAATAATAAATTAACCTTAGCTTACTGTGTCTTTTTTACTTTGTAAACTTTTTAATCTTGAAGCTTTTTGACTATTTCGTAATAACACTTAGCTTAAAACACAAACACAATATACAGCTATACAAAAATATTTTCTTTATATCCTTCCTCTATAAGCTTTTTTCTATTAAAAAATATTTTTTTTTAACATTAAAAAAAAATCTGCTACAAACTAAGACACACACACATCAGCTTAGGCCTACATGGGGTCAGGATTGCCAGCCTCACTTTCTTCCACCCCCACATCTTACCCCCTAGAAAGTCTTTGCGAGTGATAACACGTGTGAAGTTGTCTCTTAAGATAACAATGCTTCTGGAATACTTCCTGAAGGGCCTGCCTGAGGCTGTTTTACAGTTAACCTTTTTTTTTTAATGCAGAAGATATACACTGTAAAATAATGACAAAAAAATATCATAAATACATAAACCAGTGTGGTCGTTTATTATCATTATTATGTGCTGTACTTCTACCGTGTTTCTCTGAAAATAAGACAGGGTCTTATATTTTTCCTTAAGACACCCTAGGCCGGGCGAGGTGGCTCACGCCTGTAATCCTAGCTCTCTGGGAGGCCGAGGCGGGCGGATTGCTCAAGGTCAGGAGTTCAAAACCAGCCTGAGCAAGAGCGAGACCCCGTCTCTACTATAAATAGAAAGAAATGAATTGGCCAACTGATATATATATAAAAAATTAGCCAGGCATGGTGGCGCATGCCTGTAGTCCCAGCTACTCGAGAGGCTGAGGCAGAAGCATCGCTCGAGCCCAGGAGTTTGAGGTTGCTGTGAGCTAGGCTGATGCCACGGCACTCACTCTAGCCTGGACAACAAAGCGAGACTCTGTCTCAAAAAAAAAAAAAAGAAGACACCCTAGGTGTCTTATTTTCAGGGCATGTGTCATTTTCTCCTCAGAGCCTCAGCTTGCAGCATGCACAGGCTGGCTGGGACCTCACAGAGGGGAACTAACCTTGTTGGTGGGGCTGCCCACACCTGTCTGGTCACCTCTGGGATAGTAGCTGTCACGATGGGGCAGATGAGAAGGGCTGCTCGTCTTCTTTCCCGATCCCCGACAACACACATGGGGTGTGCAGATGTGCTGTGTGGCCACGCCCATCACTAGGTCTTATTTTTGGGGTAGGGCTTATATTGCACAACTGCTTAGAAATCCTGCTAGGGCTTATTTTATGGGTAGGTCTTATTTTGGGGGAAACACGGTATAGAACTGACAGTGGTAGGTCCTCCTCCTCTTCCCCTCCCTCTCCCACTGTCCCCTCCCTTTATTTTTTATTTTTATTTTTTGTTTGAGACAGAGTCTCGCTTTGTTGCCCAGGCTAGAGTGAGTGCCGTGGCATCAGCCTAGCTCACAGCAACCTCAAACTCCTGGACTCAAGCGATCCTCCTGCCTCAGCCTCCCAAGTAGCTGGGACTACAGGCATGCGCCACCATGCCCGGCTCATTTTTTCTATGTATATTAGTTGGCCAATTAATTTCTTTCTATTTATAGTAAAGATGGGGTCTTGCTGTTGCTCAGGCTGGTTTTGAACTCCTGACCTCAAGCAATCTGCCCGCCTCAGCCTCCCAGAGTGCTAGGATTACAGGCGTGAGCCACTGCGCCCGGCCTGTCCCTCCCTTGAAAAATGTAGTCTATGCTTAGCTATATTAGTTAGCTCTTGGTGGTGTAACAAAATGTCACAGACTATGTGGCTTAAACAACAAAAATTTATTTTTGCACCATCCTGGAGGGTGGAAGTCCGAGATAGGTGCCAGCATGGTCAGTGTCAGGTGAGGGCTCTCTTCCTAGCTGGCAGACGGTGATTATCTTGCTGTGCCTTTGCGTGGGGTGGGACCGGGTAGGGGTGAAGAGAGCGCCCTCTGGTGTCTTTTCCTCTTCTTATCACGTAAGGACATCAGTCTCATTAGATTAGGGCCTCATCCTCAAGACCTCATTTAACCTTAATTACCTCCTTAAACGCCCTATCTCCAAATAGTCACATTGGGAGTTACGGCTTCAACGTATGAATTTGGGAGGTCACAATTCAGTCTGTGGCATTAGCCTTCTGAAAACACTCCACATCCCAGGTCTGTCCTACGGGCTGTCATTTGCTCATCCCTGATTTAGAGCGAATCCGTGATTTTGTAGGGAGGCTGGAGGTGGGGATCTCCTAGTGGGGTTTCTGTTATTTCCAGTCCAGACGTCAGGATCACTAGTGTGACTAGCAAAGTAAAAAGTGCACACACTGTGAACGTGTCCGTTTGGACTTCTGTGATAAGAAATGCTGGGCAACTTATAGACAACAGAAATTCCTGCTCGTGCTCTGGAGGCTGGGAAGTCCAGGATTGAAGTGCCAGCACACTGAGGTGCCACATTCGGTGAGGCCTGCCTTTGTGTAGATGACACCTTCTCTGTGTCTTCACATGGTGGGAGGGGCAGGCAGGTTCCCTCAAGCCTCTTATAAAGGCATTGCCTCATGAAGATCACACTTCATAACACAATCACATTGGATATTAGTTTCCAACATGGGAATTGGGGCGGCACCAACATTTAGACCACAGCCGGAGGCTACACGTGGGCACATGGGCCTGGGTCTGTTTTAGGCATCTGTGTGCTTCGAGGGTGTGGCTGTGACCTTCACACAGGAGGAGTGGAGACAGTTGAACCTGGCCCAGAGGATGCTGTACCGTGACGTGACTCTGGAGACCTGTGGCTGTCTGGTCTCCCTGGGTAAGGTGGGCTCTGCCCGTGGCAGGAGGTTTCTGCCTCTGGGACTCAAAGCTTTAGCTATTCTGAAGGTGTTCCTAGGTGGGCTGGAACACTCTGGAAGCAGATCCTAGGCATTGCCACTTGTTCTGTCCTGGGGCGGGTCTGTGACTTGTCATCCAGCCAGCAGGGAGTTTCCTAGGCATGGCCTTGGGGGCTGCGACTGGGCTCAGGACCATGCTGTCTCATTTCTAAGCCTTTGTCTTTCTCCCGACCAGGGCTTCTGCTTTCCAAGCTGGAAGTGATCTCCCAGCTGGAACGAGATGACCTGTGCAGGGTGCGGCAGCCGCCTCCCCGAGGTGAGAGCAGGCTTTGTGAGAAGCAGCTGAGCAGCTAACAATAAGCCAAGACCTCTCTGTGTTGCCAGGGGTCCAGGAGGGACCTTTTGGAGGAGCTTCCCTGACACCTGTGGCCTGGCTGAGGCAGCCACATTCCCGTCTTGGTCCACCTGCCCTGAAGGGAATCACATTGTTATCATCAGACATTTTTCAGGCATGAGTTTGCACCTAGTCCTGTCTCCCCCTTGGCTGTTACCGCTCAGCTGCCTTGTCTGATTTTCTGGTTTGGGGTCTTCAGACCCTCCCATCCTGTCCTCCACCCAGGCCAGCAGCTCTTGGGACCCTTCAGGCCCAGCTGTTGCCCTGTGGTTGAGCATCACCCCTCCTCTGGAAGAACCTGCACATCCAGAGAGTGGCAACAGCCCCTCCCTCCCAGAAGAATCCTTTCCCGGGTCCATCTTCCCACCTCTTCTCATCCCATGGAGCCTTCTACATCCTAGGGTGCCATCCTAACTTGGGTGCTTTATTTTCTCAAAGCTTTATCAAGCTATAGTTCACATACCATGTAGGTCACCATATAGAGGATGTAATTCATGGCCTCTAGTGCATTCCCAGAGTTGTGGAATCCTCCCCCAGTCGATTTTGGAACATGTTCCTCATCCCAGCTAATTAGGCTTCTTTTCTTAATTGTTTTGTTTTTAATTAACAGACCATTTAGCAAAGTGCATCATTTGTATCCTTCACACAACTCTCTTACGTTTTCCCCAGGCTGGAGACATTGAATTTATCTGAATTTATCTTGAGTTTTCCTTCCCTTTCTCACCTTGTCACTCTTGCCTGCTGCCTCTTATTTTTTCCTCTGTAAATGCACCCACAGGTGCTTGCCCTCTCCCTCCTCCCTGTGCCACCCTGCGCACCCTGCCTCAAGCAACGTCACTGAAGTGTTTGCTGTCAGTGTCTCTTGCCTTGGCTGGCCTGCGTGGATACTCTGGCTTCCTCATTCCACACTCCTGATGGAGATGCTGCTGCAGGGTATTTAATGTCCTTCATCTGGTTTTCAACAGCCAGGTGCAACCTGGGCGCATCTCAGCCACCCAAAGACTTTTTCCTGCTTCTTGTCCTCAGATACCCCTTCCTTGATCCATTGTTTCATTTGAAAATGTCCTTCCCCCCAGGGATTCTGAGGTGGCTTCCCAGAGGAACCACAGAGATTTGGGGATGAGAACACTGTTGGGTGTGCGAGGTGCTCGCTGTGGGTGAGGACCTTGTCCAGGAGGGAAAGGGTCCTTGACAAGAAGGAATCGTCCTCCCAGAAGTCAAGGGATGACAGGAGAGTGTGGTTAACATTTTGTCACATGCTGTTTGCAGGCTTGTGAAGCATGGGGGCTTGAGCACAGGCCTTGATGGTGTTAGCCATGGGTGGCTGCATGGCCTGAGTGGTCAGAGTGACAAATAAAGGGGGAACCGTGGAGGACCCAGACAAGGATCCTGAGCTGGAAGCCTCTTAACACTTGTTTTTAGAGGCCCAGTGTCTTCACCAGAAGGAAGAATCTCCATTGGGGCAGTGACACAGATGGCCAGGTCAATAGTGTTGTGTGCTTACAGCACCAGACACCATGCAAGGCTTGAGCACTAACTCATTGATCTCAGAGTAAACCTTGAAAGCTGAGTGTTTTCATTCCTGGCTTATGGCCCAGGAAAATGAAGCTTCAGACAGGCTACAACCTTGCTGTTTCAGGGCCAAAACACTCTTCTTCAGAGTCTGTGGGATCAGTTCTGGAGTGGTTGCAGAAGTTTTTTTCTGTGAGCAGTCTGAAGAAATGGGAAAATTGGTGCATTAAGAATATAATGTCATCTTGCTTTGTCCTCTTGGTTTTTTTTTTCTTGTTTTTTTTTTTATTTCAGCATATTATAGGTGTATAAATGTTTAGGTTATATATGTTGCCTTGTCCCCCACCCATCCTCTTGTTTTTATAAAAAGAATATTACATCAGTTTTGATGTTTGAGATGTATGAGATCCAGAACTGGAACATACGCTGAGATTCTAGGACAAAGCACTAGCTAATAGGCTCTCTTAGTTTCCTGTGGCTGCTGTAACAAATTACCACTAATCTGGTGTCTTAAAACAATGCAGATTTTCCTTTTAAAGTTCTAGAGGTCAGAAGTCTGAAATTAGTTCACTGGGTTGAAGTCAAAGTGTCAACAAAGCTCTGCTCCCTCTGAAGTTTCCAAATGGGAAATCTGTTCCTTACTTTCCGTCTTCTGTGAAATGTGCCATTCCTTGTGGGGCCATATTTCCAATCTTTCAGTCTGTCTGTCTTCTGACTTCTCATCACCTTCTCTATGCATATCAAACTCCCTCTGCCTCCATCATAGGGACTCTTGTGGTTGCTTTTAGGGCCCACCTGAATAATCCGGGGTAATTTCCCCATCTCAGGATCCTACACTTAGTTACATCTACAAGGTCCCTTTTTCCAAAGAAGTCACATTCATAGGGACCCGGGGATTACTACATACATATTTTCTTGCTGTGGTGAATGGCCTTACACCTGGAAGACAGTTCTTTCTGTGGATTTCTCCTTTCTATTTATTGCTTTGCTTATGTTTTGCACTTTACCACTGATTTCATGTTTGCTGATCCATCCTTTCTAAGCAGTCGCCCTCATCCTGCTCTCCCCCTCTGATGCTTCTGTGCTGACACAGGCATTGTGGATTTCTTTCAGACTGCGAGGCTACACTTGAAAAGAAAAGGTCAGCTTCTGAGAGAGTTAACATTAGGGAAGAACTATCCCACCACATGGAAATGAATCACTGCATTCAGGGTGAGCACCCCTGGCCAGAGCCTTTAGGAAATATGCAGGACCAGATTGACTGTCTACAGGAAGCCCACGAGGAATCTGTGAGGCAGATGCCTCTGACCTCAGAGGGACTGTTTGCTGAAGGTGAACATTGTGAGCATGAACTTGGGGAAGGTCATCGTCTATGTTTAAGCCTTCTACCTCCAACATTACTTACAAATGAACATTTTGAGAAACTCAGTGCACAGGGGAAGGAGTGGAAACAAAATCCAGTTTTCATTACTCATGAGAAAGCCTGGGCAGGTCTGAAGCCCTGTGAAAATTGTCAGCGTGCTAGAGCCTTCTGTCAGAGTATCTACTTGAGTAAACTTGAAAACATTGAGACAGGAAATAAAACTCCATGTGACTATGTTGTCAGTAGTGACTCCCTCAACTTTGGTACCTCTCTTTGTTTTCATGGTAGAATTTTTTCAGCAGAAAACAGCAGTGATTGTAAGGACTATGGAAACCTTTTCTGTCATAGAGTGTCTCTGAAAACACAAGCAGGTAGATTTTGGAGGAACTAAGTATGAGTGTGACAAATGTGGGGAAGCCTGTTGTGAGAGTTTGTGCCTGGCACAAATGGAAAGAAGTGATCCTGGTGAGGCCTCCTTCAGATGTAAGGGGAGCTGTGATTCCTTCCCCATGGCCTCATCTTTTAATGACCATAACATCATTCAGACTAGGAAGAAGCCATATGTTTGTAATCAGTGTGGAAAATCTTTCAGCTGTTGTTCTAAGCTTCTTGTACACCAGAGAACACACACAGGAGAAAAGCCCTATAAATGTACTCAGTGTGGGAAATCTTTCAGCCAGAGCTATGACCTTGTTGTACATGAGAGAACACATACTGGAGAGAAGCCCTACAAATGCAACCAGTGTGGGAAATCCTTCACCCAAAGTTCCAAACTTACTAGGCATCAGCGAACTCACATTGGAGTAAAACCATATAAATGTCTCGAATGTGAGAGATCCTTTAGGTGGAACTCTAACCTCATTGTGCATCAGAGAATCCATACTGGAGAGAAACCATATGAGTGCCCTCACTGTGGAAAGTCCTTCAGCCAAAGCTCTGACTTCATAGCACATAAAAGGACTCACAGTGGAGAGAAGCCTTATGAATATAACCAGTGTGGAAAATCCTTCATTCGAAGCACTCAGCTCATTAGGCATCTGCAAATTCACACTGGAGAGAAGCCGTACAAATGCAGTCAGTGTGATAAAACCTTCATGGGGGCCGGGCGCGGTGGCTCACGCCTGTAATCCTAGCACTCTGGGAGGCCGAGGCGGGCGGATTGCTCAAGGTCAGGAGTTCAAAACCAGCCTGAGCGAGACCCCGTCTCTACCATAAAAAAATAGAAAGAAATTAATTGGCCAACTAATATATATATATATATATATATATATATATATATATATATATATATCAGCCGGGCATGGTGGCTCATGCCTGTAGTCCTAGCTACTCGGGAGGCTGAGGCAGGAGGATCGCTTGAGCCCAGGAGTTTGAGGTTGCTGTGAGCTAGGCTGACGCCACGGCACTCACTCTAGCCTAGGCAAGAAAGCGAGACTCTGTCTCAAAAAAAAAAAAAAAAACCTTCATGGGGAGCTCACACCTTATTGAGCACCAGAGAACTCATACTGGAGAGAAACTCTTTGAGTGTCATCAGTGTGGGAAAGCCTTCACAGGGAGCTCACATCTTCTTTCCCATCAGAGAATTCATTCTGGGGAGAAACCATATCAGTGTAATGATTGTGGGAAATCTTTCCATCAGCGATCTCAGCTGGTCGTGCATCAGCGGACACATACTGGAGAGAAACCTTATGAATGCAGTCATTGTGGCAAAGCTTTCAGCCAGAGGTCTCCCCTCATTGTGCATCAGAGAATGCACATTGGAGAGAAGCCCTATCAGTGTAGCATGTGTGTTAAGGCCTTCAGTCAGCAATCAAGACTTACTGAACATCAGAGAACGCATACTGGAGAAAAGCCCTATGAATGTATTGATTGTGGGAGAGCCTTCAATGATCGGTCAACTCTTACTAAACATGAGAGAACACATACAGGAGAGAAACCCTATGAATGCAACCACTGCAAGAAGGCCTTTAGCCAATGGTGTCAACTTACTAGGCATCAGCAAATTCATACTGGAGAGAAACCCTATGAATGTAATGAATGTGGGAAGGCTTTCAGTTACAATACATCCCTTATTCAACATGAGAAAGCTCGTGGGCAGGAACCCCTATGAATAATCGAGATGGGAATGTTCCCTGCCAAGCCCTTGTTGCTAGAAATTAGATGACCATAGTGGGACTTTCAGAGTAGAGTCCAATGACCACGCATGTCAGGATTGCCTGGCATGTGTACTGAAACTGCATATTACTAAGCTTATCCCCAGCTTACTAAATCAGAATTTCTAGTGGTAAAACCCGGGTATCTCAGTTTCTGAAAGCAGCCCGTGCGATTTGTTTACACATCAAAATGTGTCTACTGTTGTCTTTAGGTGAGAAGCTATGAATATGACCACTGATGAAAAGCTTTCAGTCAGAGGTATTGGCAGTAGTTAGGAAACTCAGGGTGGAGCTGTACCCTCCAGATGATATATTTAGTGCAAACAACAACTCAAACCATGATCAGACACTGTCCCCATTTAACACATTCCTGAAAATGATAGTGGGCTGGAAAATGGTTTTGCTGCAGAGCCCTGAAAACTCTAAACTACTACTACATGAGGAAGTTGGAGTTTAGGATGAAATATGAAATCAGCCATCTTTTCTGTAAACCATCAGTAAAGAACAAAAACTGAAGGAGGCCTGGGTCTGGGAACTATTCCACAGTGATTTTATTATTGGAATTAAAAGTATTTCAGAGATTCCTTGTGCTTTAACTTAACTTTGTTGCTCAGTTAGGTAGATTCTAACCAGAACTGGTGGCATATTAATATGGAAAATACTTACCAGGTGAAGTGAAAACAGGACCCAAAATGGTGTGTACACAGAATGTTACAACCACATAAAGACATGGACACGTGGTTGGCTAAGTAGGTCCACTTAGCAACATGTTCACTGAAAGAAGGAAGTAAATCAACAGCAGTGAGCAGAGTGCGGGAGGCCGTCGCTACAAATTTAAGCAAGATGGGAGCAGGTTGAGGGGGTGTAGCCTGGAGATGCAGAATGGGGAAGGCTGGGGCCAGAACATGTGAGGAGGGGCAGAGGTGGAGGTGCGGCCCCAGCAGAGCTGTAGACTGACAGCCAGTTGGGAAAGCAGAGTTCTTCTGTGAAATGTGGACTCTTGCCCATTTTTTTCTTGCCTGGCAGTAATTATCTGGTTGTGGGTAAGCAAAAAATAAAGTAGGGAAGGAGTTATGCATTAAAAAAATTAGTCCAAGGGACTAGAGAATCTGGCGTGCTTTGCTCTGGAGCAAGGGCTGCCTTATTCTGGCATTTTAGGACTTTTATCCTAATAATCTGGTTCTTGCCCTTGTCACCCCAAAACAAGCATGCTGTTGAGCCAGTCACACCCAACTGTTTATCATCCCATCTGTTTTGTGGTGGCCTCTTCAATATCTGGGAGGCAACAACAAACAAAGCCCCCAACATGAAAGAAAGAATCTAAGCTAAAACAAGAAAACCAACTCCCAAAGAAAATGTTAAGAACCAAATATTTAAAATGTTCTGTTATTCTAAGAGTGAATGAAGAAAGGGTTACAAATGGAAAATAACACAAAGGTCCTCTGGGGGGAACAAAAAAAATGCTATGAGAATAAGAACACACTCTTTGAAATTAAAAGTAAAATTCTTGAACAACTAAATAAGAAAATTAAAAAGGTAAACTTCCCCAGGGCTGAAAGGTAATCTACCGATTATGCAGATTAATATCCAGGATTGGTAAGATCCACATGGCACGAAAAATTGAGCAAACCACTATTAAAAATAGACAGCAGAAGCTTCTGGAGAGAAAAGTTTTGGAACTAAGAAATAAATGTGGGGTTTTTTGTTTTTGAGACACAGTCTCACTTTGTTGCCCAGGCTAGAGTGAGTGCCGTGGCGTCAGCCTAGCTCACAGCAACCTCAAACTCCTGGGCTCAAGCAATCCTACTGCCTCAGCCTCCCGAGTAGCTGGGACTACAGGCATGCGCCACCATGCCTGGCTAATTTTTCTCTCTATATATATAGTTGGCCAATTAATTTCTTTCTATTTATAATAGAGACAGGGTCTTGCTCTTGCTCAGGCTGATTTCGAACTCCTGACCTCAAGCAATCCACTCGCCTCAGCCTCCCAGAGTGCTAGGATTACAGGCGTGAGCCACCGCGCCCGGCTGTTTTTGTTTTTGTTTTTTTGAGACAGAGTCTCACTTTGTTGCCCAGGCTAGAGTGAGTGCCATGGCGTCAGCCTAGCTCACAGCAACCTCAAACTCCTAGGCTCAAGCAATCCTCCTGCCTCAGCCTCCCGAGTAGCTGGGACTACAGGCATGTGCCACCATGCCCGGCTCATTTTTTCTATGTATATTAGTTGGCCAATTAATTTCTTTCTATTTATAGTAGAGACAGGGTCTCGCTCTTGCTCAGGCTAGTTTCAAACTCCTGACTCGAGCATCAGCCGCCTTGTCCTCCCAGAGTGCTAGGATTATAGGCGTGAGCCACTGCGCCCGGCCAATGTGGGGTTTTTTAAAGAATAATCTCAAAGTTGCATATCTATATATCTGTTTCCATTTTGTTGATTCCACTTAAAACTTAAGTGTGTGGCTCATTAAAGACCCTAAACGGATACCACACCTGTTAACATGTGACCCACAGACTCCTTTTAAATGGAAAGAGAAATCTATTCTCCCTTCATTTTTGTATGAATACAGATATTAAAATAATCCTAAACAGTTTTGATACAACTAACAGTGGAACTATTGGGGGCCCACAAAACAACCCCCACATCTGGAGATTTTCTAGACGAACTCATGGGGCTAAACACAGTTGTAATCATGGCTAAGATTTGTTGGAGCGTCACAATAGGAAAGATAGGTGGAGTGTGGAGGAACCTGAAGGGTCACACGAAACACACCCCTCCCCCCACAACAGATAAGAGCAACGTGTGTGAGGCTTCTGCCCAGGGAAGCCCATTAGAGGAGTGTCCAGGGTTTTTGACTTAGGGTAGGCTATACTAACATAAAAAATAGACTCAAAATGAAATGACTCCAACAGTAAAGGAGTTGTCTCTGCTTAGAGTAGGGGTTCCAGGGAAATAGCTATCCTCCAGGTGTAGGGGACTGACATATATTTTCATAGTTTAAGAATTAAAGTTAGTGAGTAATGTACGTGTTCTGCCCAGAGTATTTGAAAGTAATCTGTTCCGGACAGGCTCCCTGTGATAAACAAAGGTGTTGCCTAGAGGCATAACAAAGGACCTGAGCTGCAAGTAGCAAGAGTGACCCCGCCTCACAGCATTGGGGGTCTGGAGGCCACACAATAAACACCCCATAAGATGGCTGGTTAGTCAATGATGGGTAAGACCCCTCAAGGGAGGGGCGACCTAAGCCAGGTATAGCTGCTGGGGTTCAGCCAAAGATCTTAGGAGGTCACCCTAAGAGAAGCTGGGAATGAGAAATGCCCCCTGTGGCTCACCTTGCCCATCCTTCCTAATCTTGATCCTTTATCTATGCCTAGTGCCTAGAGCAACCACCTTGAAATTCTGAGTCAGGGGATGTCTGCTTCCCTAAGGCTACACATTTCAGAATTTATGGCTATCGCTTCCAAGCCTGGGTGGTTATGTACAAGGAACTAACTTTAATCTTTTAGAGTATAAAAATAAAACGGACCCGGTGTATGATTACTCGAGTCAACCATTTGTCTGTGTGTCCGTGTTTTTCTTTGTGTTCTGTGTTTGTGTTTTGTGTTCTGTGTTCATCCTTCGTCCTGTAAACAGGCCACAACATCCAGGGACATCCCACAAGGGCTCTTAACAATTTTCATGCCATGCACTATTTTTTCCAATCAGGTGAAGCCTAGGGACCCTTTCTCAGAATTGTTTTTATAAATGCATAACATAAGATGCACAAGATTACAAAATGAGCCAATTATATTTAAATTCAGTTATCAAAATACTTAAAAAGAAACCATTATACTAATATTCAAGCTTCCTTATTAATGCATTAAATGACATGATTTAGTGGTGATCCTAATAACTACCATAATTTTGTAGTCATGAGTGAAATGGTATTTCAAGATATCTGCAATACCGTCCTGTGATATGAAAATGTGATTTCTGTTGGTGACAGAGTCACTGTGGCTTACAACTAGCATTCAAAGTGAAATGGAGAAGACATTTTTTGTGTTCAAACATAATAACTGTCCCTTCCATTAGGAAACTCGTACCAACTCCCACCCAGTAGACCCACTCTGAGGCCACAGGAATGACCCTGTGACCCAGGTTGGGCCAACCAGAGTGCTCCTTCTCCTTAACTATAGCCACTGGCCCACAGCTTGGCATGACACCAGGGCTGAGCCTATCGAGTTTCCCTGATCCTCTCAGTCATTCTCATTGGCCCAGCATTAGGCACATGACTGAGGCTGAGCCCATCTGGATTCCTGATCCCCTCTAAACTGCAACCGCTTAAGGAACAGAGGACAAAGTGGACGCTCAAAGGTCCTACAAGCTTATATTAGTAATACAAGAGTGAGACTGAAATAGCAAATTCTTACTGAAGATTTGTGTTTAAAGAGAAATTGCCTTGGCCGGCTGTGGTGGCTCACGCCTGTAATCCTAGCACTCTGGGAGGCAGAGGTGGGAAGATCACTCAAGGTCAGGAGTTCAAGACCAGCCTGAGCAAGAGTGAGACCCTGTCTCAACTAAAAAAATAGAAAGAAATTAATTGGCCAACTAAAAATATATAGAAAACATTAGCCAGGCATGATGGTGCGTGCCTGTAGTCCCAACTACCCTGGAGGCTGAAGCAGGAGGATTGCTTGAGCCCAGGAGTTTGAGGTTGCTGTGAGCTAGGCTGATGCCATGGCACTCTAGGCCAGCACTGTAGCCTGGGCAACAGAGTGAGACTCTGCCTCAAAAAAAAAGAGAGAGAGAGAAATCACCTTCACAATCATTCCTAGGGCCTGATTATCCTCTGGATCATCGGTACTTTATAAAACCCAAAAAAGTACATTTCACATTACCATGTTCTTTACTAGCACAACAAAATTACAAATTACTAATTGTGGATATTTTAGAATATCTTCCAAAACACCTGTTTGGTCAAAGAGGAAGTAAAATTATGAATCTATATAATTTTTTTTTTTTTTTTTTTTTAGCATAGGAGAAAGCTTTTACCAGTTTCACTCCCTGCTACATTCCAAAGGGATAGGGCTCAGTGATCCTACCTCTGATACAAGTAGACAGACTTTTTTATTATTATTTAAATTTTTAAAAATACTTCATATCAAACCACTGGCTTTAATACAAAATTATTACCAAAATTTACTTTACAAAAAAGTGTATTCTAAGTCCAGGAAGGTGGCTCACTCTGGGAGGCCAAAGCAGGAGGATCACTTGAGACAGGAGTTCAAGACCAGCCTGAGTAAGAGTGAGACCCCCCAAAATACAAAAATTAGCCAAGCATTGTGGTGCCTGTAGTCCCAGCTACTCAGGAAGCTGAGGCAGAAGTGATCACTGCAGCCCAGGAGTTTGAGGTTGCTGTGAGCTAGGATGACGCCACTGCACTCTAGCACAGGGGACAGAGCAAGACCCTGTCAAAAAAAAGAGATGCCTATTCTATAGAAAGATGTGAATGTGTGTCTAAAGTTTTTTGTTTATGTAGCAAATATCTATCAATATTTGCTGTTATAGGAATTTAAACTGAGGAAAATTTTAATATATTTTAACTTTTCAAAATAAATCCATTGTATGTTCACATATGTTATAAGTTGAGGTGTCTTCCCTCAAAATTCATTTGTTGGAGTTTTAACTCCCAGTACCCCAGAATGTGACCTTATTTGGAGACAGGCTTTAAAGAGGTAATTAAGTTAAAATGAGGTCACTAGGGTGAACCCTGGTCCAATATGACTGGTGTCCTTATAAAACGGGAAATCTGGAGACACACACACACACACACACACACACACACACACACACACAGAAAAACACCATATGAGAGCCAGGAAAAGGAATGCCAGCAAACCTCCAAAAGCTAGGGAAAGGGAAACAGCAGATTCTCTCTCATGGCCCTCAAAGGGAACAAACTGTGCCAACACTTTGATCTCAGACTTTTAGCCTCCAAAACTTTGAAATAGTAAAGTTGTATTGTTTAAGCCACCCAGTACATTGTTACCACAGTACTAGCAAACTAATACAACGTATCATTTTTAAAAAGCATCTACTTTATGAAAAATACCTACATTTTCCAAAACAAAAATTAGTGAGAAGGGTTGCATTGTATTATATTTTTTAAAATCTCCTTAATATCTAGCTTGACTGAAGGCAGCTGAATTCCCATAGCTGTTTGTGCCTTTGATCTGTTACAACATTACTCAGCTAGTATCCTCTGGAAGACTCTTATATGCATGAGAAAATAAGAGTGCAAGAAAAAGCCAATATCTCATTATTATTATTATTATTATTGACTTAGTTTTAAACTGAGTGGTTCCTTGAAAAGGTCTTGGGAACGCCCCTCACTCACACTTTGAGAACTACAATAGCCAAAATAGATAATCAAGGAGGAAAATAAAACAAGTACTAGAAAAGAAAAAACAATAGCAGAACACCACAAGTCACAGATTCAGCACCATTAGAACTAGGAGGAAAGTTGAGCTCAGTGGCTGGTTCCAAAATGAGCATACAGGCTTTGAAGGAGATGCTAATAGACTCTTGCACCTCCACCCCTACCCCACCTCTCCACCCCCTGGAGGATGATGCTAAGGGGAAGGCAACATATCTTTCTGGTACCTTCTGTGCCCACAGAGAAGGGGATACTGCCTGAAAACTTTTTTTGCACTCCCAGAAGTCAGATTTGGTCTCCTGGAAGGCTGCTTGATCTATGGTTCCCACAGCAACCACTGCCACCTGCTCAGGTGAGTAAAGATGCATGTCAAAAGATAAAATTACAAAAAATTTAGTTAAAGATCTGTCTTTTATTTGTGATTCATGAATTGGGGCGGCCTCCACTCTACAAAATAGAATGAGCGTTCCCACTGGGCAGTGGCAGAACAGTGGGTTTTTAAAGGTGGAAACAAGAAACTAGAACAAGAGGGGAAAAGCTGATTAACAGCCAGGAATTTGTTTTGTAAGGGTTAAAAGCAGAAGGGCCTTCCTTATGCTGGCTTAGGTAGGCTGGAATTTCTTGTTTTCAGGAAAAACTGGTCTGTTTCGGGATATACCTGGTTCCTTAAAGTTTCAGTTTGATTATGTGGCATTTAGCATGAGTGACTTTCTTTTGGTCAGGACTGTTGGGGTTGGGGCCTAGGGCAGGAGTTCAGTCCAAAACAATGGCCTCCCATACTTCTTAGCACCTAACAACTGCTCAGCCTGCTGGTACTGCTGGCCCTGTTGGGCTGGGCCTGGGTGCAGGGGCTACAGGACCTGAGAGTGGGGAACAAGAGACAAAAACAAAGAGAGGGATAGGAGAGAGTGTGCTTCCTTGGAAGGCAGCTGCTCCATCCCCACTGGTGACATCACTGTCCTCAGACCTTCAGTGTGGTGGAAACAGTCCTGTTGGGGTTTATTTCCTGTCCCTCCCTGCTACACCATCAGCCCTGTGGGGGCAGGTAGATATGCTGCTTAAATCTTCCCTGCAACATGCCTGGGTTGTAATGAAAACAAAATTTGTTGTGGTTTGAATGCATCTTGGCGAACGTCAGCTTTTTCGTTTTACTTTTCTAATATTTTTTAAAGGACTGTAACAGGCGCACAAAAAAATGACATCACATCTCCAGGTTAGCACCCCACATGGAGAAACAACGTGACCAGCTCTTAAACCCTCGTGTCCCGCTCCAGTCACTCGCCATCTCCTCTCTCGTCTCCTATATTAACAAAATGCGTAAATGTTAAAGTAATTTTGATACAAAGCGGGAAAAGCCCCAGGCCTGGAGCGCATTTCCATAGGACAAATAAGACCCAGGACTGCTGGCCAGGACGTCTCGTACCCGTCGCCATCCGAGCTCTGCTGCTCCGCCCGCGTCCCTTCCCGCCCCGCCCCCGCCCCCCAACGGCCGCCCACGCCGCCCCTCATTCCCCCCTCCAGCGGCCCCCCTTCGCCAAGACGGCTATCTCTGCCTTGAGTGCCCGCTGGCCCCACCCGCTAAGAGCTCCCATTGGCCAGCGGCCAGAACGCTCCCATTGGCCAAGGGCCCGGCGGGCGGAGGCTCCCATTGGCCAGGTGCTGCGGCTCGCTGCACTGCCTTCTGGGCGTTGTAGTCTCGGCGTCTCCAGCGCGGCCGCCATTGTCCGGCGGGCAGCGAGTCGGGTGGTTTCATCGGCTAAGGCGGCCTTCTGATTTGGCAGTCGACTCGGACGTCCGTCCTCGACCCATCGGTCCGGGATGGACCCCGAAGAAGAAGCGGCAGCAGTGGTGATGGCCACGGGGCCGCCGGAGGTCCGGCTTCAGGTAACAAAAACAATAACGATGGCAGCGGGGTCCCGGCCCAAGGGTCTCCTGGGGAGCCCGACCATTTAGCCTCGCAACGCGCGGTGAGGACGGTACAGGCATTATTATCCTTTCCACACGGGTAAACTGAGGCGCTGGCTCGGCCAGCCGAGAGCGGAGGCGGTATTCAAACCGTGGCTGCTTGGTCCCCACGTGCGCATGCGCCGGGGTGGGCCCGGCTTCCCAGCCCTCAGGTGGGGCGGGGGGTCTTCCCGGCTCCTGCGTTCGGCCGTGCTGCCCCCACGCCCTCCGCGAGCCGGGAAGGGGTGTTCACCGCGAGGACGGGTACTAGCGTCGGCCGAGCACCAAGATGGCGAGCGTTATCAAACAGAGATGTCTTCGTGCGTGGAGGCAGCAGCAGACGCCCTCCGGACTCGGCGCCCCTGCCGCGCGGGTGGGGCACAGCCTCCTGCGGGTAACACCCCGAGTTAGTGTGAGGGGAGCGACTACCAGGGTCGTCCCCTGAGGGACTGTGGAAGCACTGCATTGCAGGGCGGCGAGTGGTTTGCCAGGCCATCTGGGCGTCAAAGCCCCATCCTTTCCAAACAAAGTGGCTGCTGCCTGAGTTCATAAAATGCTGCCTCCACATGGCAGAAACCAAATATAATTCAAACTTCCTTAAGCTCTGCAACTTTGAAATTATGTGCAATTCTGTGTATTTGTGTTTGGTTTGTTTATGGGGATTTGCATTATTTCAGATTTGGTACACAAAGTGAGATATTGGTAATCGTCCATGGTAGGTTTTTTTAGATGTGTGTTGTTCCAAATTTGCATGAAATGTTACTACACTTTAGTTTGTTCTTGCTGTGGATTGGGGAGCAGAGAATGAGCAGTAAGAAAGCCTGAGAGGAAGTGTATTAGTAATCTGTTGCTGTGTAACAAAGAACTCAGAAACTTAGTGGTCTTAAACAACAATAAATATCTCACAGTTTCTGACAGGGATCCTGGAATGACGTCTCTGATGGTTCCGCCCCAGGTTCCTGAAATGACAGTCAAGATGTCAGCTCAATTGTTGCCACCTGAGACTTGACTGAGGCTGGAGGCTCCACCTCCAGCATTGTTCACTGACGTGGCTGTTGGCAGGCCTCAGTTCTTCTGCATGTGAGCCTCTTTGTGGAATTGCTCAGGTGCCCTTACAACATGGTGTCCAGCTTCCCACAGAGGAAGCGATCCAGGAGAGGGCAAGGTAGAAGCTGCCGTGCCTTTCCTGACCTGGACTCAGAATTCACACTCTGTCATTTCCACAGTATCCTATTAATTGTACAAGTCAGCCTTGCTCAGTGTGGAAGAGGACTGCACAAGAGCTAGAGATATTTGGTGGGAGGCCATCTTGGAGGCTGACCATCACAGGCAGAAATGACCAGAAGAGGAGGGCCTCAAGGTCCAGTGTATTAGTTATCTGTGGCTGCCATAACATCACTACAAATCCGATAGTCTTATGATTCTAGAGGTCAGTTTTCTGGGCTGGAATCAAGGTGTGAGCAGAGCCACTCTTCCTGCCGAGGCCCTAGGGGAGGATCCATTTCCTCTCCTTTTCAGCTGTAAGAGCTATACTCCTTGCATTCCTTGCCTTATGGCCCTTTATGGTCCATCTTAAAGCCAGCAGTGTAACATCTTCAATGGTCACATTACCTTCTGTCTTCTACAGTCACATCTCCCTCTTTCTACCTCTTATAAAGATACTTGTGATTGCATTTAGGGACCACCTGTATAATCCAGGGTAATCTCCCTGTTTTAAAATCCTAATCACATCTGAACAATCTCTTTTGCCATTATGGTAGTATTCACAGGTTCTGGGAACTAGGAGCTGGATATCTTAGGGGCCATTATCTAGCCTACCATAGCCAGGCTGAGATGGGTCATCCTGTATCCAGTGGTGATAAGGAACCATTCACATGTTTTAAGCAGGACTGAAATGGGGTTGAAGAAAACCACTCATGCATCTAGGGGTTAGCAGTAGGAGAGATACCTATAGCTGAGCTAAGGCAGTAGGAAAAAGAACGGGGTGGGGCCCAGTAACTAGGTGTAGGCTGATGCTGTGGCAGCCTGGTCAGCAGTGGTAGAGTGTGTGAAGGAGAGAGATCTGAGCACAGCCCCTCACCTCCAGGCCCAGCAGTGCATGACAAGAGGGAGGCTGTAGGGATCTGAGATGGAGCAGCAAGGAAAGTCTCAAAACAGCAAGGACTGGGCTTCTGCTGGAATTCTAAGAAAGAAGCCAAGAGGAGGTGTGATGGACTTGTGGGATGCCACTCTGAGGTCTCATAGCCTGGACAGACCAGTACTCACTGGACCTGGTATCTGAGCTGTCACCAGTGACCCACATAGAGCAGGTGATGGTGGTGGATGGGAGTAGGAGGCATAGGGTGCATGTATCAGGGTTTTCAGGCATTCTGAATGGAAGCTGAAGACACAGGGACAGGAGCAGAGACCTGTTCCTAACCAAAGGCTTCTTTCTACATGTATCCTATCAGAACCACATGCCACCTGTACTAACATTTCTTAGTATTTTTAAATCTCACTTTTTTCTTTAAAAAAAAATACTGTTTTGATTTTTGTATTTTTATTTAATTTAATTTTCTTTTCTTTTCTTTTCTTTTCTTTTCTTTTCTTTTCTTTTCTTTTCTTTTCTTTTCTTTTCTTTTTTTTTTGAGATAGTCTCACTCTGTTATCCATGCTGGAGTGCAGTGATGTGATTGTAACTCACTTCATCCTCAAACTCCAGCAATCCTCCCGCTGCAGCCTCCTGAGTAAATGGGATAAAAGGTGCACACCACCATGCCCAGCTGATTTTTTAACATTTTTGTGGAGACGGGGGTCTTGCTATGTTACTGGGGCCGGTTTCAAACTCATGGCCTCAAATGATCCTCCCATGTTGGACTCCCAAAGCACAGGAATTACAGGCATAAGCCACTACAGCAGGCCCAAATACCCTTTTTAAATTGAAGTATTTGCTTTGTGGTTTTTTTCTATTTTCTTTTTTTTTTTTTGAGACAGAGTCTCGCTTTGTTGCCCAGGCTAGAGTGAGTGCCATGGCGTCAGCCTAGCTCACAGCAACCTCAAACTCTTGGGCTCAAATGATCCTCCTGCCCCAGCCTCCCCAGTAGCTGGGACTACAGGCATGCACCACCATACCCGGCTAATTTTTTGTATATATATTTTTAGTTGTCCAATTAATTTCTTTCTATATTTAGTAGAGACAGGGTCTCGCTCAGGCTGGTTTCGAACTCCTGACCTCGAACAATCCGCCCGCCTCGGCCTCCCAGAGTGCTAGGATTACAGGCGTGAGCCACCGCGCCCAGCCTTTTTCTATTTTCTTGATGACTATGATGTTGAACGTATTTTCATGTGCCTATGCCACATATATATCTTCTTTTATATATTCTTTAAAGAAATAACTATTCAGATTCTTTGGCCATTTTAATTGGGTTGTCTTTTTATTATTGAGTTGTAAGAGTTCATTATATAGTCTAGATAGAAGTCTGTTATCAGTATGTGATTCATAATTATTGTCTCCCATTCTGTGAGTTGTCTTCTCACCTTCTTGATAGTGTCCTTTGAAACACAAAAGTTTTTTGTTTTGATAAAGTCCAATTTATTTTGTATTTTGTTGCTTGTGCTTTTTGTTTCATATCTGAGAATCCTCTGCCAGTTCCAAAGTTGCAAAGATTTATCCCTATGTTTTCTTCTAAGACTTTTATAGCTCTTACATTTATATCTTTGATTCATGTTGAGTTAAATTTTGTATATGGTGCTTGCTTCAGCACATATACTAAAATTAGGATGATGCAGAGAAGATTAGCATGGCACCTGCACAAGGATGACATGCAAATTCATGGAGCATTTCATATATTTTTTTAAAATTATGGTGTGAGGTAGGGGATTACAGTGATTTGAATGTGTTTCCCCAATTTTTTTTTTTTTTTTTTTTTTTTGAGACAGAGTCTTGCTTTGTTGCCCAGGCTAGAGTGAGTGCCATGGCGTCAGCCTAGCTCACAGCAACCTCACACTCCTGGGCTCAAGCGATCCTTCTGTCTCAGCCTCCCGAGTAGCTGGGACTACAGGCATGAGCCACCACGCCCGGCTAATTTTTTCTATATATATTAGTTGGCCAATTAGTTTCTTTCTATTTATAGTAGAGACGGGGTCTCGCTCTTGCTCAGGCTGGTTTCGAACTCCCGACCTCGAGCAATCCGCCCGCCTCGGCCTCCCAGAGAGCTAGGATTACAGGCGTGAGCCACTGCGCCCGGCCGTTTCCCAAATTTTTATGTGTTAGAAACTTAATTTCCAAATTCATATGTTGATGGCATTTGGAGATGCTACTTTTGGGAGATAATTAGGATTAGATAAGGCTATCAGGGTGGGGTCTCCATGATAGGACTACTTCATAAGAAGAGAGGCCTAATCTAGCACACTCTTGCCTTCTCACCATGTGATGCCTTTTGCTATGAAGACCCATTACCAGATGCTGGTGCCATAATATTGAACTTTCCAGTGTCTAGAACTGTAAGAAGTAAATTTATTTTCTGTATCAGTTACCCAGTCTGATAATTATCCAGTCTGTTCGAGACCAGCCTAGGCAACATAGCAAGACCTTGTCTCTATAGAAAATTTAAAAATTAGCTGGCCATGGCAGCATGCTCTTGTAGTCCTAACTACTTAGGAGGCTGATACAGGAGAATCACTTGGATTCAGCCCTGGAGTTTGAGGCTGCAGTGGGCTATGATCACACTACTGCAGTCCAGGCTGGGCAACATAGTGAGACCCTGTCTCAAAAAAAAAAAAAATTGAATTTTTCACATAAAAGTATGACCTAATTTACAGCTTCTCTATAAAGATTGGCAGTTCTGAACACATGGGGCCTGTATTTCCCTGTAATCAGTCAATTCTAAGTCCCTGCTGCCCTTTGAGTTAGGGGCCATACTCCTGTTACCTCCAGCCGCACTGGGTAAGTGCCCTGGTGGCCTCTTTTAACTACCCCACTTCTGTCCCATGAGCCTGCCTGGCCCTGAAGGCAGGTAAATTTCTGACTCCAACCATGCACCCCTCTTTTCAGGGAGGATGATGATCCTCACTTTGTATCTAAAGATTAATGAATGTATTAGTTAGATGTTGCTGTGTAACAAACTATCTGAAAACTTGGTATCTTTAAACAGTAGCTCGTTCCTTAGCTCACAGACCTACAAGCCAGTGGTTTAGGTCAATCTCTGTTGCCACCTTCACCTGTCTGATCATTTGTAGGTCAGCTGTGGTTGACTTTGTTGATCTTTCTGGATCCTCTCACATGTCCTCACTGTATAGCCCATGCCTATGTGTAGTGACTTAGTAGGTTCCCAGTGAGACCTGATTCCCATCACTGATAACATGAACTCCCTCAGAACACTGACCTGCCTCTTTCCCCATTCTTTACTACCAGAGAACTCTGAAGGGGACAATCCAACTGATTGAGAAAATGTGTGTGATATTTTAGGAGCCAGTGACTTTCCGGGATGTGGCTGTGGACTTCACCCAGGAGGAGTGGGGGCAGCTGGACCCTACCCAGAGGACCCTCTACCGTGACGTGATGCTAGAAACCTTTGGGCATCTGCTCTCCATAGGTAAGGCCTGCTTCTCAAGCTGTGGTGACTGATTCTTCCTGGGTTATAGGTTGTGAGGCCACTGGTGTGAGGATATGACCTTGGGTTCTCACTGCCAGTGAGACATGCATGCAGGGGGTTATCCACCCTATTTTGTCCCAGTGAAAAGCCTTCACTTTGTTGTGAGATGCCCACATGTCCTGATAGGAGTCTAGACTGGAACATGGTCTGCTTCTTTCTCTCCAAAGCAATAACCCACATCCTGTGTCTTTCCCTGTGTTCAGGTCCTGAACTTCCCAAACCTGAAGTCATCTCCCAGCTGGAACAAGGAGCTCAGCTGTGGGTGGCAGAGAGAGAAATTACCCAGGGCCATTGTCCAGGTAAGAACTCACCAAGTGGGAGCCCCTAATAGGAGCAGCCCAAGAGATGCACTTCATGGAAACGGTGGTGCCTGGGGGTCCTCAAGACCACCCTGTTTTCCAGGAGCTCACAGACTCAGCATAGAGTCATATTCATAGCTATGACTTTTTATTTTTTTATTTTATTTTATTTTATTTATTTTTTTGAGACAGAGTCTCGCTTTGTTGCCTAGGCTAGAGTGAGTGCTGTGACGTCAGCCTAGCTCACAGCAACCTCAAACTCCTGGGCTTAAGCAATCCTTCTGCCTCAGCCACCCGAGTAGCTGGGACTACAGGCATGCGCCACCATGCCTGGCTAATTTTTTTTTTTATATATATATTAGTTGGCCAATTAATTTCTTTCTATTTATAGTAGAGACGGGGTCTCGCTCTTGCTCAGGCTGGTTTCGAACTCCTGACCTCGAGCAATCCGCCCGCCTCAGCCTCCCAGAGAGCTAGGATTACAGGCATGAGCCATCGCGCCTGGCTTTTTTATTTTTAAGAGATAGTCTTGGGCCAGGTGCGGTGGGTCATGTCTGTAATCCTAGCACTCTGGGATGCCGAGGCGGGCAGATTGCTCAAGGTCAGGAGTTCAAAACCAGCCTGAGCAAGGGTGAGACCCCATCTCTAGTATAAATAGAAAGAAATTAATTGGCCAACTAATATATATAGAAAAAATTAGCCATGCATAGTGGGGCATGCCTGTAGTCCCAGCTACTCGGGAGGCTGAGGCAGTAGGATCGCTTGAGCCCAGGAGTTTGAGATTGCTGTGAGCTAGGCTGATGCCACGGCACTCACTCTAGCCTGGGCAACAAAGTGAGACTCTGGCTCAAAAAAAAAAAAAAAGAGATAGTCTTGCTCTGTCCCCCTTGCTGAAGTGCAGTAGCACCATCATAGCTCATTTTAACCTCAGATTCCTGAGCTCAAGTCATCCTCCTGCCTCAGTCTCCCAAGTAGCTGGAACTACAGGTGCATGCCACTGTGCTTGACTAATTTTGTAAATTTTTTGTAGAGACAGAGTCTCTATGTTGCCCCCACTGGTCGCAAACTCTTGGTCTCAAGGATCCTCCTGCCTCATCTTCCCAAAGTGTTGAGATTGCAGGTGTGAGCCACTGCACCCGGCCAACAATTGATTATAATGAAAGGATACAGAGCAAAGCCAGGAGAGGGAAAAGGCACATGGAGTGAAGTCCAGAGGAAATCAGACATAAGTTTCCAGAGTCCTCTACCTGTGAATTCACACAGGACATGCTTAGTTCCCCAAGCAGTTAGTTGTGACAACACATGAGAAGTGTTTTGTACCAGGGAAGCTTGGGAGAGACTCAGTGTGAGAGGTTAGGGATTTTTACTGGGGCTGGTCAGACTCCACTGCCTGGCACAGGCCAAGATTCCAGACTGCCGGGAGAAAGCCAGTGGTTTCAGAATAAACCATGTTGTGTGCATAAACTGTGGGTGCAGTGAACTACTCCTACCAGTTAGAGTAGTGATGGAAACCCTCCCCACATCCAAATTCCCGGATGCAGCCAAGGGCCAACCTTGTGAGCACACCTCTCTAAAAATGGCAATTGGGGACCTACCCTGTTAACTCTTTTCTGCATGGTGCTCCATAGCCTTCTCACCTGTGTTCCTCTTCCTCTGAGTTCAGAGACCATTCACCTCTTCTCCAGTGGACGTAGTCCCACCCCTTCCTCTCCCTCTGCTCTGTCTTCCTTTCCAGGTTGTTCCCTCTCTCACCAGCCTTATCAGCATGCCCTTTCCATGGGATCATTCTGATGTGTGAACCTGTCATTCATCTCCATTTTGTTCTTGTGTGTCCAGAGTCTATAAACCTTTGCCCCACACCTGTCTTCTAGTCTGTTATCAATAAAGATTGCATTTAGCTGTAAATGCCTTAAAACCAGGTTAGAGCAGCTTAAAAGCAAGAGGGAAGCGTATTTCTCACAAAGCAGGAGCCCTGAGTCTGCTGGCATTGGCTAGGCATCTCAGAGATGCCACAGCCAGTTGTTCTGTGATTCTCCCAGGCGATCCTTGGGGTTAGAGTGTGACTACAACAGCTCCATCCATCACATCTGCACCAGGCAGGAAGGAGGGGGAAAAGTAGGAAGAATGGTGCCAGCCACATCTGTCCCCTTTTGTCATAACTCCAGATGTTATCCCTTGGGGTCTCTTTGGGCAGGACTAGGTCACCTCTACCTGCCCTGACCCTAGTTGCTAGGGAAGCTGGAAGGCGGGGTAGGTCTAGATTATCATAACTGGCTTAGGCAAGTCATAATTCCTTCCCTTGATTGGTACGTTGGTACCCTGACTGCATACTAGAAGAAGGAGGATTTGGCTAAAGGATACACAACCAGCAGTACCTGCAGATCAGCCTCCCACCTGAATGCTTCTGATGACACCCAGATCTTTCTGATTCTACATGGAGACACATGTACCTCCATAATAGGTACATGTGATCTACCCTGGGGTGGGGGTGGAGGTGTGAATCTGCAGCATGCCTTGGTGTGTTCCTGCCTCATTTATTGGTTGTAACTACTGTTACTTCAGACTTTTATGTCAGAAGCAAATTATCTTCCTGGACGTAGGCCTTTGACCCACTGGTTTTATGCTGTAACTAAATCCAGGTTCTAAATCTATTAATGTGAGGCTGGTCCAAGTGCAGTGGTGTTTACAACTAATTCATAACCAGTTACATATTTGTTCCTTCTCCACTCCCACTGCTTCACTTGAGTAGACTTAGCAAAAATAATAAAATGTGTCCTGTAAATATTAAGGAAAATGTCCTGCTTGTACAGATTAGGGGTGTGAGGTCAAAATTGTGATGGACAGACTATTTCAAGAACTTAACATCCACAGCCTGGGCAACATAGCAAGACCCTATCTCTATAAGAAATGAAAAAATATACGTCTGGCCTAGCATGGTGGTACGCACCTGTAGTCCCAGCTACTAGGGAGGCTGAGGCTGGGGGATCACTTGAGCCCCAGAGTTTAAAGCTGCAGTGAGCTATGATTGTACCACTGCACTCTAGCCTGAGTGACAGAGCTAGACTCTGTCTTGGGGTGGGGGGTGGGATCCAGAAAATCGAGAAGCAGATTTTCAAGGCTTTTTGTTTAAAGAAAAACATATTTTTCATGTACTACTTTGTATTAGTTTCCTATTGCTGCTGTAACAAATTACCACAATCTAGGTGGCTTGGAAAAGCACAGATTTATTTTCTTATAGTTGTGGAGGTTGGCAGTCCAAAGGTTCATCGGGGCTGATTCCTGCTGGCAGCTCTAGGAGAAAATCTGTTTCTTTGTTTTTCTTGGCTTCTGGAGGCTTCCCACATTCCTTGGCTCATGGGTCCTTCCTCCATCCTCATAGCACATCACTCTGACCACTGTTTCCATCATAACATCCCCTTTTCTGACTCAGGCCCTCCTGCCTCCCTCCTACATGGACCCTTTGGTGAGATTTAGGGCCACAGGATAATCTGCCATTTCAAGAAGCTTAACTTAATATAGTTGCGATGTAGTTTTGCCACATAAAGTTCCAGTGATTCAGATGTAGGTATCTTTGAGAGGCCTCCCACATACTTGATTAAAAGAGGGAATAGGCCGGGCGCGGTGGCTCACGCCTGTAATCCTAGCACTCTGGGAGGCCGAGGCAGGCGGATTGCTCGAGGTCAGGAGTTCGAAACCAGCCTGAGCAAGAGCGAGACCCCATCTTTACTATAAATAGAAAGAAATTAATTGGCCAACTAATATATATGTATAAAATTAGCCAGGCATGGTGGCGCATGCCTGTAGTCCCAGCTACTCAGGAGGCTGAGGCAGAAGGATTACTTGAGCCCAGGAGTTTGAGGTTGCTGTGAGCTAGGCTGACGCCACGGCACTCACTCTAGCCTGGGCAACAAGCGAGACTCTGTCTCAAAAAAAAAAAAAAAAAAAGAGGGAATAGTGTTTTGTTTTGATTTCTTTATAAGGAAAAGAGTCGTGGTCCAGGAAGATTCCCATTCCTAGTGTGCTCATATGCTTTGGTAGGCTGGGGCTGGCTGCATGATCTCGAGCCCCTCCTTGGCCCTTGCCACTTGTCTTGCTTGATTTCTTATTCTTTCTTTTCTGTAGGAAACATGGCTTCACCTGCTGCAGGTCACCTTCTGGCTGACTGCAGTCCCAACTCTTCTCTCAGTTCCTCTCTATCAGCTGTTCACCCTCTTGGTGGGGACACCCATGGCTTCCCAAACACTGGGCTTGATGGTTTTCCTGGCGACTGGCACTGTGGCTTCGGCCTCCAGGTTGATGCAGGCCAAAACTTGAGCCTGTTTCAGCCTGGATGCTCTGTGTTCCTGACCAGGCCAGTTCATCCCTCACCTAGTGGCCTCCAGTCCCCCTTCTCTTGGTCTTCCTCCCTGCTCTTCCCACAGGCATCATAAGTTTCAGTTGCATACTACGTTTTCTTCTAAGAGTTTTATAGAGGTCAGTGGCACATTGGACTAAATGTCTCTAAGAACATCACCAGTGTTATCTCCCAGCCAGTCTCCTGGCTCAGAGCGTGTTCAGCAGACGTTCCCGAGCACCTACCATGTGCTGCTGCCTGCACTGTGGATGCAGCAAAGAAAATGACAGACGAGGCCTAGCCCTTGCTTAGCATTGAGGGACATGGGTCTGAGAAGTGGTTACCAACACCAGTTGGTGATAAGGCTGTGAAGAAAGTTGTACCTGGGAAGGACAGGGCAGGGCACTCATGAACAGGAGTGGCCAGGACAGGCAGAGAGGCCTGTTTGAGAAGGTGACAGCAAGCTGGGACACGAGGGAGAGGTGGACAGATATCTGGGTTGAGGGTTCTAGGCAAAGGGAGCAGCATGTGCAGAGGGTTGAGGAGGGACATGGGAACCTACTGGAGGAATGGTGAGGAGGCAGCAGGGAGCAGAGTGAGGAAAGGGGCTGAGAAGTCAGTGAGGGGTATCGTGTCCATCACCAGAAGTGACGTGCAGAGTGAGTGGAGGAGTGACTAGGGCTGACTTGTGGTGGTGTATGGGTGGATCTATTTGGTTTTTTAAACAGCTTTATTAAGATATGATTCACGTAACACAAAATTCACCCATTTAAAGTACATAGTTCAGTGGTTTTGAGTATATTCACAGATTGTACACCCTTCACCACTATCCAATTCCAGAATATTGCATCACTGTCTTAGTCATTTTGGACTACCATAACAAAATACTACAGCTTGGGTGGCTTAACAGACATTTCTCACAGTTCTGCAGGCCAGAAGTCCAAGATCAAGATGCCAGCTGATTAGCTTTCTGATAAGGGTCCATTCCTTGTTTGCAGAAGGCTGCCTTCTCACTGTGTCCTCACATGTCAGAAAGAGAGAGAAGAAAGCAAGCTCTTTAGTGTCTCTTATAAGGGCACTAATCTCATTCAGAAAGGTTCCACCCTCAAGACTTAATCACCTTCCAATGTCCCCATCTCCAATACCCACATGAATTTGGGGAGGATACAAACATTCAGTCCCTAGCAGTCCACCTCAAAAGTTGTTTGAGGTGGACCATTCAGTCCACCTCAAAAGTTGCCTATTAGCAATATTTTTCCTAGCCCTTGGCAATCACTAATCTACTTTCTGTCTCTGTGTTTTTGCCTGTTCTGGACATTTCATATAAATGGTATCTTATAATATGTGACCTTTGTGTCTGACTTCTTCACTTAGCATAATGTTTTCAAGGTTCATCCATGTTGTAGCATGTATCAGTATTTTCTTCCTTTTTGTGGCTAAATAATATTCCATTGTGTGGATTGACTACTTTTTGTTTATCCATCTGTTGACAAGCATTGGGATTGTTTCTGCTTTTTGGTTATTACCGTGTTTCCCCGAAAATAAGACAGGATCTTACATTTATTCTTCCTGAAGAAGACACCTTAGGGCTTATTTAAGTATGGTACAACAATCTACATTTATTCAAATATAGTTAAGTCATCTTCTGGAACATCATCATAGTAAAATGGCAGCCATAGCTTCCTTTTTCCCCCTGGGGACATAAAATACCTAAAGCAGAGCATCCCGCTCCTCACTTCACTGTGGAGACTTTCCCCTCAAAGTCTCAGCTCGCAGCACGCACAGGATGGCCAGGACCTGACAGGGGAAGCCGACCTTGTTGGTGAGGCTGCCTGCACCTTTCTGGTCACCTCTGGGATAGTAGCTGTCGTGATGGGGCAGATGAGAAGGAGTACTCGCCTTCTTTACCGCTCCGAGACAAAATGCATGGGTTGTGCAGACACGCTGCATAGCCATGCCCATCACTAGGTCTTATTTTCAGGGTGGGGTTTATATTGCGCAAATGCTTAGAAATCCTGCTAGGGCTTATTTTATGGGTAGGTCTTATTTTCGGGGAAACACGGTATATGAATTGTGCTGCTGTGAACATTCATGTATAAATTTTTGTGTGGGCCAACTTGTATTTTACAAGAATCCTCTGAGTGCTATGCAGAGAGTTGTATTTGGGGGCCAGAGGTGAGAGAGAGCAGGAAGCCTAGTACCTGGCCTGTCTCTGCTCCTCCAGCACCTCTTGTGTGGTCAGGCTCTTGTTCATTTCTTCCTTCAGTGTGTCCATCCAGCATTCACTGAAACAGGCATTTTTGGCACCTACTACCTGTCAGCTCTAGGTACTGGCTGTGGACACTCTGTGTCATGAGATGGACCTTGAAAGAATGGATATGTGTTGTCAGCAAGACTGGAGCAGGTGAGGGGGGCTCAAGAGGGCTGAGGGAAAGCAGGGAAGCAGGGCCCACAGTGGAGTCCATGTCCTAATCCCCAGATTAGGTTATTTTGGATTACTTGGTGGCCCCATTGTAATCACAAGAGTCATTATAAGAACGGGCAAGAGGATCAGTCAGCATAGGAGATAAGATAATAGAAGCAGAGGTCACTGAGAGAAAGATTTGAAGATGCTATACTGCTGGCCTCGGAGGTGAAGGAACAGGCCTGGGAATGAAGGCAGCCTTTAAAACTGGAAGAGTTTCTCCTAGAGCCTCCAAGAGAAACCGGCCCTGCAACACCTTGATTTTAGCACTTCTGCATTCTAGAATTGTAAGATAATAAACGTGTGTTGTTTTAAGATGCCAAGTTTGTGGTAAGTTGTTACAACAGCAAATGGTACCAGTATAGCTTCACTTCATTGTCAGTACCTGGCCAACAGCAGGGCTCAATAAATATTTGTTGACATATTTGAAGACAGGGCACTTGGTGTCAAAATAAGATGCAGGCCAGGCACAGTGGTTCACACCTTTAAGCCTAGCACTCTGGGTGGTTGAGGCAGGAGGATCACTTGAGCTCAGGAGTTCGAGACCAGCCTGAGCAAGAAGAGACACCATCGCTACTAAAAATAGAAAGAATTAGCTGGTTGTGGTGGCAAGTGCCTGTAGTCCCAGCTACTGGGGAGGCTGAGGCAGGAGGATCACTTGAGCCCAGGACTTAGAGTTTGCAGTGAGCTATGATGACACCTCTGCATTCTAGCCTGGGTGACAGAGTGAGTCTCAAAAAAAAAAAAGGAGAATCAGGGGACTTACAAAGGTAATTGCTAGTATCCTAACTGAGTAACCTGAGGTGTTGGGCTTGTCCTGACTCCTTTTTCCCCCCAACCTCTCAGAGCTGTTTGGTTTTCTTTTAGTCTGGGAGCCTAGACGAGAAGGCCAAGCATCACCCAAGGAGCAGGTACTTTTGGAAGAGGAGCCAGCCCATGTGATGGAAAGGGAGGGATTCCTTAGAGATACTCCTTGTCCTTCCATGTTAGGGGAAAACTGGGAGTCTGAAGGCCAGGACCAGGCACTCAGGAAGGACCAGAATAACTGGGAGCAGTTGGAATTTGGCCTCAAGGAAGCACCAATTCAAGATGAAGGCTGTGAAACTCTCAGACTTGGGGAAAACTGTGTCCTGAGTTCAAACCCAAATCTATTCCCAGAGATTTCTAGGAAAGACTATTTCTGTACTTATGACTCACAGGTTACAAACTCGAAACATAATTCAAGCTTAGTCGATCAGCAAACAACGTCCCCAGGAAAACAGCTGTGTGAAAACAGTGACTGCCTCAAAGCTTCCAGTCAGGCTGATCCAGTTATAGAACTTGCAAGAAACCAGGTGCAGGACAAACCCTACAAATGTACTGACTGTGGGAAGTCATTTAACCATAATGCACACCTCACAGTGCACAAGAGGATTCATACAGGAGAGAGACCTTATATGTGCAAAGAATGTGGGAAAGCCTTCAGCCAGAACTCCTCCCTTGTTCAACATGAGCGAATCCACACAGGAGACAAGCCATATAAATGTGCTGAATGTGGGAAATCTTTCTGCCATAGTACACACCTTACTGTGCACCGGAGGATTCACACAGGGGAGAAACCCTACGAGTGTCAGGACTGTGGGAGGGCCTTCAACCAGAATTCATCCCTGGGTCGGCACAAGAGGACACATACTGGAGAGAAGCCGTACACCTGCAGTGTGTGTGGGAAATCCTTCTCTCGGACCACTTGCCTTTTCCTGCACCTGAGAACTCACACTGAGGAGAGGCCCTATGAGTGTAACCACTGTGGGAAGGGCTTCAGGCACAGCTCATCCCTGGCCCAGCATCAGCGAAAACATGCTGGGGAGAAGCCCTTTGAGTGCCGCCAAAGGCTGATCTTTGAGCAGACACCAGCTTTGATGAAGCATGAGTGGGCGGAAGCCCTTGGCTGCGACCCACCTTTGAATCAAGATGAGAGGACTCACCAGAGCGACAGGCCCTTTAAATGTAATCAGTGTGGGAAGTGTTTCATTCAGAGCTCTCACCTCATCCGACACCAGATAACTCACACCAGAGAGGAGGAGCCCCGTGGGCGTAACCGACAGCGTGAACAATCCTTTGCCCGGAGCTCACACCTTGGAGCACACACCTTGTCCGGCATCAGCACTTGAATTCGAGGGAGAACTCTGCAGGTGGGGCAAAGGCAAGACAGTCAGAAAACAGGGCTCTGGCCTTGTTTGACATCCACGAAATCATGCAAGAGAAAAACCCCATGCATGTTATTGGGGTGGAAGAGCCTTCTGTGGGTGCTTCCATGTTATTTGACGTCAGAGAATCCACATAGGAGACAAACTCTGCAGATGACTTTTAACCACAGGTACAAAAATGTGGTAAGTCCACATGGTGGAATCATGGAAAGAGAGGCTAGGAGTGGAAATATTGATGATGACCTCTGACTTTTTGTGGAAATGGTATCTCCCAAACACCTGAGGTTAGTGGTTTCCAAATCTATCAAGCTAAGTGCACCCTTTAACAACAGATATTTTGTAATGTTCCCTCTGTTACTCTAAAATTAGTTAACAAGTAATAAAACCTACTCACATGTGTAATGTCAAAAAATCAATATACAGCCTATTTTGTAAAGGATAATTAAAGTGAAAGTAATTTATGGTAGAGTAACGTAATAGAGTAATGTGTGCCGAGTCTATGCGGTATCTTACCTTGTCATTGTGTGGGCCCAGTTACACCAGGAGACCTGGGGCAATAGTCTATTGCTTATAGACTGGTACAGGCTATGGTGTTAGCCAGGAAATACCATGACAGGCATTCCTATATGGGATTTAATTTTACAATGTAGTGACTAACTGTTGGATAAGTTTTGAAGAAAACAAAATGTCATCACATTTCTGGAAAATTCTTTGTAAATTTCAAGCATGCAGCAATTGTGTTTATGTGTGAAGTTGATTTTTTGTACTGCTAACAGATTGTTTCACACTTGTGTCCATGGTCCACTGGGGCCAGCTTTGTGCTTCATAGCCATTGCAATGTGCTTGGCTCCTGCCCTCATTTCAACCACACATATCTCCAAATCATATGACATAGACGCACATATAATTTCACTACATTCTGTGGTTGGTGTCATAAGTCCTTTTGAAAACCATTGCCTCAGAATGAGCCAGAGGTTCTCATTCAGGTGGCTTTTGCCCCCAGGGAACATTTGGTGATGTCTGGAGACATTTTTGTTTGCAGTGACTAGGGGGAAGGGTGCCACTGGCATCTAGTGAGTAAAGGCCAGGGATGCTGCTCAGCATCTTACAGTGCCCAGGACTGCTCAACAAAGAATTGTCTAGCCCCAAAAGTGCCAAGGTGGAGAAGCCCTGGCATAAACCCAGCCCAGCAATATAGCCAGTGTTTTCTAAACTCTGAAAATTGATTAATTGGGCTGTACTAACAATCATGTAAGTTTGATTTTAACAAATGGTGTCATCAGCTAGTTTATACATGATATATTTTTTAGTAAATCTTGCAGCATTCATAATAGGAAGAAAGGAAGAGAATCTACTTATTTTTCTGAATAATCTTTTAGCATTTATTGTGGACATTTTAAAACATGAATAATATATTTTCACTGGTATCCCCACCCCTCTTCTGCCACTGGATTATTTTCACATCAGTCCCAGAAATCATATTATTTCATCTCTAAGAGGCAAGACTTTATATATATAAAACCATGTTGATCCATAGGGACAAATCCATTCTCATCATCATACTTACCCATCATTTGCCCTTTTTGGTGTGCACCGATGCTGTGAAAGCAACAGTGGGTAGAACTGCCAAGCCTGAGTTCCAGTGAGGGCAGTGGCCCCAGGGTTCTTTGTATTTTTCCCCACTGGGCACTGCAGTAAAGAAAAAAAAATGCTCATTTACTGATCTGTGATGCAACAAGAAAAATTGTTAATTTTATTAAATCTTAAGTCGAATTACATTGACATTATCACATATTGTTAAATATCTAGTGTTGAGATGTCCCTGATATGCCTCATAAATTTGTTTTCTATTTGTTTTGCTGTAATTATGATCAAAACAAAGGTCTACATGGTGCATTTGGTTACTTTGCTTTCTTAAGTCTCTATTAATCCCACTCTTTTTTAGTCCTATATTTGTTGAACCTAAATTTTGTCCCCACCATGAGCCTGCCCATCACACCCTACTGAGAGGCCTCAAGAGGTCCTGTGGACTCCTGCTGGACCCCTGCTTTTCTCAGAGCTCATCTCCCCTACCTTGCTTAGGGCCTCTGCTGGAGGAACATAGGAAGATCTCTTACCCAACTGTCAGTGCCAGACAAAGCCAGACTGTCATTCACATTTTTAGGAAGCAGGATATTCTAACATGACCATTAGTGTCCATAGTGGGAAGCTCCACCTTCATTGTCATACTGCTTTCCTCCAGGTTTTCTCCTGAGGAAAGCAAGAGTTTCTGACCTTTTGTCCATGCAGTTCTTGACACAGAAAGAACACTACATCAAGGTGTTGGTCCTTGGTGTCTCATAGCACAAGGGATATAAAAACCAAGGATTTAAACCTGCCTAATTTCTAACTTAAAATGAAACAAATCATTGACTGTCCATAAGCCGTAGCTACAGCCAAATGCCTATTCCACTGATACACTCAGTCATATGCTGCAATCATGCAAAACATCGCCAGGTCATTCCTTTGGTATTCCCATTACAGTTGCATCCTAATGAAGTTAGATACCGTCAACATCAAAAATTAGAAGGAAAGAAAATTGATCACAGTACATCTCAACATGTAAAAAGTGCTTCATAAAAATAAACTGCAGAAGAAATTTTGGATTGGCAGGGTATAGAGTTGAATGGAAGAGTGATCATTCTGGGAAAACAGCAGCAGTTCTCATAACCCTGTCAGAATGGTTTACAACACAACTTGGCTGAGGTTGTAGCAGCCCCACTGTAAACTGGGGACAAACACATTAAGTAGAAGGAACACGCTGTAGTGATCTTTGTGTATTTTCCATTTCTCATTTCAATTCATGTTTTCTAGGCATGATGTTCCTGCTGGTTTCCTTGTAGATATTTTGAAACAGATAAGAAACTCCTTGGGAAATTATGTAACTAGGGAAAATACATAGTTTGTTTGTTTATAAAAGTCATACAATTCTTTGTAGCAAAACTTAGAAAATGCACAAAAGTAAAAAAAAAAAAGCATGGAAACTTACATAAAATTTGTTTCCTCTTCAGCCATCCTTAGATGGCAATTACCATTGAGATTTTGCTAATTTTCCTTGCAACTTTCTCTTAAAATATGCATATGTGTACACATAACATATAGTGTACACTAAATCTTATAAATACACAGGCATATATACGTGTATAGTTAACTTGCATTTAGAAATTTGGGATCCTGGCCAGGCACAGTGGCTCATGCCTGTAATTCTAGCACTCTGGGAGGCCGAGGCAGGAGAATCGCTTGAGTTCAGGAGTTTAAGACCAGCCTGAGCAAGAGCAAGACCCCGTCTCTACAAAAAATAGAAAAATTAGCGGGGCATAGTGGTCCTGGCCTGTATTTCCAGCTACCTGGGAAGCTGAGGCAGGAGGATCACTTGAGCCCAGGAGTTTGAGGTTGCTGTGAGCTGCAATTATGCCACTGCACTCTTCCTGGGGTGACAGAGCAAGACTGTCTCAAAAAAAGTAGGGGATCCCTTCTAGTTCTCTTGTAATATGTGCTTCTTACTATCTTTTGAGGATTTTCTCTATGGGTTTCATGTAGCTTTGAAAATGCCATGAGGATTGTAACAGTGTACCCTCCACCCAGTATTTTGCCAGCCTTGAGCTTTCTCAATGGGGATGTAGGGAGGGGAGGGGTCCTATATATTTCCAGTGGGAGTATGAATTGATAACTTCTGTGGAGGGTAGTTTATCAGTTGCTATCTAAATTACAAGTATATAAACCTTTGTCTCAGCAAAACCTGCTGGGAATGAACCCTACAGATATATTTGTATGTGTACAGACTGTACTTGGTTTTCTTCATTATGCTGTTGATTTTAAAAGCAAAAATTTGGAAATAACCTCCATGTCCACCATGGGGAACTGCTAAGTAATTTATGGTGGAATGGAGACCACAGCCTTAAAATGAAGACTGTCTTTATATACAGGTTGAGTATCCCTTATCTGAAGTGCTTGAGACCAGATGTGTTTTGGATTTTTGGATGGATTTTTGGATTAGGGATGCTCAGTTGTACTATTGTGAGAATGAGCTCCAAGGTAAATGGGAAAAAAGCAAGGTGTAAAACTGTATAGTGTGTTTCCATTTATGTAAAGAGGAAGCATTTGCTTTTACATATACACACACATAATCTCTGAAAGGGTAAAAAGTAAACAAGCATACTGGCTGTCCTTGGGGAGGTGAATTGGGACAGTGATCAGGAATAATTTTCATGCTATATCTTTTTATATTTTTGGAATTTTGAAACATGTAAAGTATTGCCAGTTCAAAAAATAAATTTAAATTTAAAATCTCAACTCTTTCATATTAAAGTAAATTTGATCATTTGTTTCATTGTTTGGTGTCTGCCTGTCCCTTACCAGAATGTCTACATGAGTAGAGACTGTGTGTCTTAGTCACACCTGTTTTACTTATGCTTATGTGTGTATGTGCTCAGTTAATGGAACCAGTTGAGTTAAAACAGCTTAAACTCCTTGATACCAAAGATGTAAGATTACATAAAGTTTCCTGGAAGGTGGTTGTAGTGCACACATACATTTCCAAGTTACCTGATTAAATTCCCTGTATCAGTCAGCTCAAATTATAAGAACCCCCTATATACAACTTGTGGCCAACAGCCTGGTCCTCCATTTCTGATGGTATCTGTGCATATCCTCCAAGGCATTCAAGTTGTTTCTGCAGTGTGGTAACTGGGAAGAAATCTGCATCCAGTCTGAAAAGCAGTCTCCCATAGGTTTCTTGTAAGAAGATCCAATGTGAACATCTTTCAGAATGCAATGTCCAATATGGTACAACTATTTAGGTGTAATTTAATTAAAATTAAATACGAAATTCAGTTCCTCATTCACTAGCAACGTTTCAACTTTTCACTAGTTACATTTCCATCATTAAAGATAGGTGGCTGAGAGGACTTTTTGAATTCCACCTTGAGAATATCTGGCTGTAGTGGGTATAGGGAAAAGTGACCCGGGGCAGCTTGCACATTTGGAGTCTTCCCCAGCAGGTCACACAGGCCTGCTGCATAAGGATGGAATTTTCATGTCCCACAATGTAACCAGGAACTTCCCTTAATTAAGGAAGATGTTTTGCATCACACAGGGCTACCCATTATTCTTGGGGAGTCACAGACATACAGAAAAAGGAATATACAGGGACGTTCACTGCATGTGTTTATAGTTGCTCAAT